CCTCCCTCTGGTTCACCCTCCCCCCACCCACACGCCTTTCACGAGCAAGCAATGAGGTAATCCCTAGCAGCCGCGTGAAGTGCAGCAAGTGCGGTGAGAGGAGCAAGAACAGCAGCCGGCGTGATGTCAGGCAGGAGCCGTGAGACGCGCTGACTCTTCTCACTTTTTCTCGTCTTATCCGCTCTCTGCTCTAGCTTGGTGTGGTTAGCTGCTGATAAGCTTTGGCGTTTTTTTTTTTGGGGGGGGTGGTCTTGTATGTAGTCAGAGGATCACTATGTGGAGGGGTTTTTAGGCTAGGCAAAGCAGGGGTGGGACAGGCTTAGCCCAGGGGCTTGGGGGCTTATATTGGACACCCCCTCGGGTGGGGTGAAGAGACAGTCGAGGCAAAAAAAAAAAAAAAAAAAAAAAGAGACGAGGACGTGAGAGGGGAAAAGTGTGTGCCCATCATGACGGAAAGGTGCAGTCTGTGGAGCGCCTTGTCGGCTGCAGCGTGCTGCTTCTACCGGGGATCTTTCATGCAGGTGCAGGTCAGTGCGTGTTGCATGCTTATGTGTCCCAAGGCATTCTCTCTTGATGCACATGTGAGAGCACAGCGGAGCCGGTAACGTCAACCCTCATGCAAAGCGGCACGCCGGTGACATCATGGATGGAGTGCTGGCCTGTCAAAGCCACTGTGCGGAGAGAGCGAAAGTGGCATGTTGGAGTTTTTAGTGCATGGGAGTGAAAGTGTGTTGAGGTCTACGGGATCATCTTGGCTTGATCTAATTCCAGCTCAGAGTTTGAAACCTGATATGCGACCATGTACAGTACACAAGACAGGATGACTCCAGAGTGTATTTTGCTCAACGTGCTGCTCACAGTAAAAGCCGATATCAAGTTTCAGATGTTTCGATGCCTCGGTAGATGATAGCATGGACTTTGGGACAGCTAAAGGATGGTAAAACTGTCGTTACTTGAACAAAATGAAGCTAAAACCGACTCCTTTTTGCTCCTGTTTGGCCCACTTTGTTGCGTACGGTTACGGCAGACCTGCACTGGCTTTACAAAGACTCTGCTCCGTTTACATTGGCTTTTTGTTGGTGTTTTTTGTGTGCTACGCAAGTTGCGAGGAATTGTACGTTGATCAAAGCCATTGATGCAAAGCCGAGGCACTGTTCATTCAGTTTCGACTCGTTTATTGTTCAAGACACAGACGAGCAAACTCCACACACTGGGAAGGAAAACGGGAGTTCAGAACATTCGGAAAGAAATTGGCCCGTTTCATTTGAGATAACAATGTAAATGTTCATGAGTGGAAATGAATACGCTGTCCCAATTATGAAAATGTAGGGGGCAGCATATTGGAAGAAAGGTCTCGAATCTCTTGAGCTTCAGGGTTAGAATTTCGACTCACTGCTGTGTGGAGTTTGCATTTCAGCGCCAAGCATGCGGCTCCCACTTTCACAAAACATGCACGTTCAATTAATTTCGATTAATTTCGATTAATTTTCCGAGGTGTGATTGTGAGTGTGATTCGTTGTTTGTCTTTGTGCCCTGCAACTGGCTGGCAACCAGTCCAGGGAGCATCAGGCCAGCAAGCAGGGAAAGGGTCCAGCCCCCCCCCGACTGAGCATTATTGACAAGGGATGGACCAATCGATGCAAATGTAGTCAAGTTGCAATGATGTCATATTTTGAGGAATAAAACCCTTGCTCCACCAAATTAGAAAGTTGCTGCATCACAGTGGTTGAAGCGGGTGAATTCATTAGTTAGCGAGGCCCGATTCTTTGCAACATGGGATTGTTTTCAAACACTCACATTTTATTCGGCCCAATATTGACGCCCCGATCCATTCTCATTAAAGATGGCTTGTCAAGCACAACATTGTGCAAACCAAGCACGGGCGCTGTAATTGTTACTTGTTCAACTCATCCATAGTCCCATTGTTGGCATCACTTTACCTCCTGCAAGGATTTCTCATTTGTTAGTTCGTTATTATCAATACGCTCTTACACACAGGCCGTGCATGGCTTCTTAAACATTTTTTATCGGCATCAGAAACACCTCAATGTTAATGTTTGACCCGCTGAAGGCAACAAAACGTAAAGACGGCAGCGTCGAGCTGCTTCTTGCCACTTCAAGCTGACGTGTCAAAGTAAACATCCAACAAGAAGCGTTACACATGATCGATTTAAAGTAGCAGGTGTGTGGTATTGTGCTGCAAGCAGTGAATATTTTGAGCACAACACATGTAGAGAGACACATGTAACACTCACAGGCTTATTCGTGATTCTTTGTCATCCAGTGAAATGGCAGTGACGCCTCAGCGTACCGCTCTCGAGCTAGGTTCGGCTAGCATCAAGTCAAAACAGCTTTAGAATTCATGTTTTCATGTTTTACATGACGCCGGTGATTGTTTAAAAAGCGTTTCAGTTGTTTTGGCAGACAAATTGGACACCAGCCAACGTTTTCAGGTTCCGCTGAATTTCTTTTGGAAATGTCATACTCTCAAATTGTCGTTGATCAGGGACGACTCGGTAATAACCGACGTCGTGGTGTTGTGGCGTGTCCCCAGCTCATCGGCCGTATCAGTGGAGAGAGATTACATTTGATCCCGTGGTCTAGACTGCGCTATTCTCACCGTGTGCAGGCGCACACACACACACACACACACACACACACACGCACACACACAGTCATGCTGCTCAACCATTGTGTGTGCATTATACCCAGTGCTTCCAGCGCGTCTCTGTAACTGGGACAATGTAACTACCCCCTGGACTCTGACAGTGACAGTAACATCCCCCCTCCTCATCTCTCTCTCTCTCTCTCACACACACATACACACAGATGCGTGGTTAGCTCGCCCTCCCCTCCACTTTGATTGTTTTTGGAGTTAATCTCTCTTTTTCTCTCTGCCAGCCACTTTCCCTCGTCCTCCTCCTCGTCCTCTTCCTCCTCCTCCTCTTTTGGCCTCCAAGGCTGTGGCCTCATTCCCCGCTGACCTGAGCAGCATGTGGCCGCCACAGCGCCCAAGTCGGCAAGCCGGTCGCTCTGTCCTTTAGCATTCCTGCGCCCGACTGTACGTGTCACATTCACATAGTCGGGCTTCCGGGCTTGCAACGTGGCGGATGCGTGCTTGCCCGGATCACGTCTCTGCCTGGATACACCACATCATAGGCCGCTCACCGTCTTAGGCCATACAGTATGGCTTTTAAAATGCACGCTAAATGGACATGTTGATATATTTTGTTCACAATAACTAGCAATTCTGATAGTGATAAGCACGATTGAATAATTTATCAATATAACCTATTTTCAGTTAGGAAGCTGTATGTGAAGTACATTACAATTGTTAAAAGAGAAGAAATTCCCAAATCACTTTTTTTATTCAGGTTTGTGTCCTAAAAGTTTTTTTTTTTTTGGTTTGTTTTTGTTTTTCATAATGGTGTTTGTCAAAGCAAAATTTTCAATGGAAAATATTGGAAATGATTCCGGTGTCACACTGTTGTGTGTGTGTATAATACTGCATTCAAATTAATGAACATATTTAGTTCCTTTTAACTCTGATTTTAAGCGTAAGTTCAACTTTAATGACAAAAGTAAAGATGGCTTCTGGATGCGACTCATGATTCTCAGTGTCGTTTTAATTAACACCAATGTGTTGACATTTTGTGATAAAAGAGGGAAAAAAAAAAAAACAAAGCTCAAGTAACCCTAGGATGCCCCCCGCCCCCAAATCATTTTGTTCACGTTTCACCTTGTCCAAACGCAGGGACATTCGTCTTCAGAAGTTCTTCGCCTTCTTTCACGAATTCTCGCATCAACTCCCCTGCTCATTCTCGCGCCCGCTTTACCGCACGCGCAACATTCCCCTTTTCGTCCGCCGCCGAGCTTCATCACGCCGACCAGCCGCTCATCATTCTCCCCTTTATGTCCTTTCTAAAGAGTGTTTATGCACAGCCTGTAGTGCAGTTGGAGGTTATTTGCTTCGATGGTCATAAAAGACAGTACGACGCCGACAAAAGCAAGGACGTTGCTTTTGCCAACTCGGTCACAGCAGGTTAACCCGCAATGGTCTCGTCATTCTGACGATACACTCTTGCCAGTGTCAGTCAGCCAAGCGCGCGTGTGTGTGTGTGTGTGTGTGTGTGTGTGTGTGTGTGTGTGTGTGTGTGTGTGTGTGTGTGTGTGTGTGTGTGCTGGGCCAACCCGCAGCCCAAGCCAACTGGTATGTTTTAGCATTGAAATATTCCCCATGTAATCCACTCCTCTTATCTGCTCTCTCCTTCTCACCCTCCTCCCTAAAAAAAGCTTTTCATCATATAAATCCTCTTTTGGCATGCTGGCCTGTCACACCCCGGAGGCACATAGTGTGAGGGGCAGCTGTGCGCGCGTGCGTATGTACGCGTGTGTGTTGTCCGTATCCTCATTAGTGCACTGCTGTGGTTTTTTTTTTTTTTTTTTGGGCATTAATTAAGCTCAGGAGCGTGAGCTGCGTATTTTGGTTTCATGTATGTTTTGTCTGTTCGCAGCTTCTTCGCGGTGTGTGTTTGTGTCTCGACGACGCAGACGGATGTCGAACGGCGAAGAGTTCGGAGGCTGATAGTGGACGTGGAGTTCGGGCTCCGGTTGTTGATGAGTGGGGATTAGTGGAAGTCGGTTTAACTGGGGAATTCATTCTGTTGTCCGAATACTCGAATACAAGAAGCCTCTCTTTGATTTGGCTTTCTCGGGGGCGAGATCAAAGTCACGGAGTTTTGAAGCATGTTGACGAATAAATGAGATTGGCCGCTTATGTGTATTGTCCGCTGTTTGTTCAGTCAAGCCTGGAGGATTACAAAAAGGCATCAAAGGGGGTTTGTGACTGAGTTTCGTTCCAACGGCGGCGACATAACTTGAATTTGTACCTAAATTGGAATGTGCTAACGTAGAGCCAGAATTTATGACGGGATGAAAACTCATTTGAGTCTGCATCCGGTTTGCGGAATTAGAAAGGAAGCCCAATGAATTCATAACGTCCTTCTAAATGCTTGTGAAAATGGACGGATGAATGCATCACATACTCATATGCGTCTATTAAGACATTACACTCGGAAACCTTGTAAAACGAGTCCAAGTTAAAGCTCAGATCTGCTTCTTCAAATTTGAAAGTGCCGAGCACGAGCAGTTGGTTGAAATGAATTAAACATAGCTTTGCTTGCATAACCCACTGGAAAAAAAAAAAAAAAAGTTGCATTCATCTGCAGAGGTGGGCAGAGTAGCAAAAAGATTGGACTCAAGTCAAGAGTACCGGTACTTAAGAATCAGATGACTTAAAAGTTCATCCTCAAGTAGGCTAAAATGAGGACATTTTTAGACATGCACAGATAACGAACGGTGCATGACAGAGCCGTCAGGTAAATATACTTTATATTGGATGTGGCCGGAAGGGGGGGGGGGTGGCTGAGCCTCATCTGACTGCGAGTTACAAACTAGGAAACCTTCCGCAGTTGTTTCTGCCATGTTTCATGTTCATGTGTCATTTTGCCACTTTGGGTTGTAGCTC